CTGCAGGCGACAACGCTCCCAGCTCTCCCATCTTCCCATCCCAGGAGCCCCTCGATCCTGCTCCCTGGGGCTGTCAGTCCCGTCCCACCTCAGTGGCTGCTGCACAGGAAGATCGTCCTGGCCCGGCCCCGTGTCTCTGCCTTCCTCATCTCCTGCAGTCTGTGTATCTGTCACTCTTTCAGCGCGCCATCCCTGGACACACTTTGTGCTCCGTGGGCTCCACAGCCCCCAAAGCCCCTCTTATGCCCTCGCTGACCCCAGACCATCTGGGCTGGCTTCTCTCTAGGACAGGCACCAGTTCTCATTCCAGAACTTTCCTTATGGTCATCTTTGGGTGGAGCCACCACTTTAGTTCTGATTTCCTGCATCTGGTTGAGTACCCGGGCTTGTCAGTGCACCCCAGGGACACCGCCTCGTCCAGGGCTCCCACATGTCTCAGACTGACGGCCAGACTGGGTCATATGACCAGCACTAGCCAATGAGCTGTGAGGACACGGGAGCACAGGGAGAGCTAGGCTGAGTCGTGTGACTGGCACTAGCCAATAAGCTGTGAGCACACGCGAGCCCAGGCCCACCTAAGCTGGGTCATATGACCAGCACTAGCCAATGAACTGTGAGGACACAGGAGCACAGGCCCACCTAGGCTGGGTCATATGACCAGCACTAGCCAATGAGCTGTGAGGACACATGAGCACAGGTCCAGCTAGGCTGGGTCATGTGACTGGCCCTAGCCAATGGGTTGTGAGCACAGAATCAGGTCGGCCGCTTCCTGCTGCTTCCCACTGTGTGTGCTTCAAGGGGTAGCCGACACAGGACAGGAAACCTTGTCTGACTTGATATGAGAACTAACCCAATGTGGCAGGAAGCCACGGACATGTGGGACCTGTGCATGGCAGCGGCCAGTGGCCTTGTTCTGCGGGGGCGCTGCGTCCATCACTCGCCTTCAGAACACTGAGCCCTCCTGCCTCCTGATATCCAGGGCTGCCGGTGGGAAATCCCAGGCTGCGCGGCTCCCGTGTGCTTTGAAGGTAACTTTCCTTTGCTCTCGCCCTCCTTGGTCTCAGCGCCCCTTCAGTCTGATGAGATCTGGGAGGTTTTCTTCAAGGCTTTCTCTGAAAGCCTTTTTGGTTAGCCAGATATAGACTCTCCGGGGTTGATTCTGTCTCTTTTCATTCTACATTCTAGAAGATCGTCTTAACTTTATTTCAGTCATGTTAATGAATGTCTTCTTTTAATGCCAGCAATTGCATTTTTAATGTCCAAGCTCTCTGTCTCATTAGTAGCATTCTTTTTATTTCATAAGTGCAGTATCTTCTTGAATACTTCTGAAGACAATTGTAACTTTAAAAAATTCCTTTCTGTTTCTAGAGCTAGCTCAGTTTCTTTCAGCCTATCTTTATTTTCTTTAGCCTGACTCCTGCAGTTTTCAGGATTTTTGTCAAACATCCAGAGACCCTTAGCTGGAGAGGATGGCATGGGTGACATGCGCAGCTGGCCAGGTACGCTCTGGGGCACTTAAGCACCTTGGTGAAGTATCATGAAGAAGACGCTGTAAATTGGACTTGGTGTTATCACAGGAGCTTTAGGATTATGGTGTTGGTAGATCTAGGATGATAATCTCCAAAATGCACTCTCCAACCCACTGCAGGGATCCTTTCTTTTGTCACCTCACTTTGTGATTTAGAATGCAGGGCCCCCAGGACAGCAGCCTCTCCGTGGCTCAACAGCTGTTAGGAGACCTTGCCTAGTTGACGAGAAAGTCACTTGTGGTGCCTTTCCATCCAGGGTGCGCGACTCTGCTCTCAAGACCCCCTGGAGGCCTGCTCCCCCTTCCCCAGCTCATCCGTTAGATGCTTGGAAGTGACTGCCTATGCCTCCTTTCAGGATAAAGCCTCAAGCCCTGCAATTGTTCCTTGTGTGATAACGTTTCAAATCCCTTCGTGGTTCTGGCACGAACATGCTCCTCGAACATGCTCCAATGTGCTGGGGCTCTGCATGTGTGAGCCTGGAGCCAGCAGGGCACACGTTCATGTTACGGCACCAGTGTGATTCCGATGACACGTGACTGGTGTGGAGCCCCGGGTATTTCCACGGGAACTGCTGTCGGCCGGATCACCTGTGCTCTGCAGCTGCGCCCAGGTCCACAAGCCACCCTTTCTTTACTGCTCGATGTCACCATTTGCCTTTTTTTTTTTTTTTTTTTTTTTGAGATGGAGTCTCACTCTGTCGCCCAGGCTGGAGTGCAGTGGTGTGATCGCGGCTCACTGCAAGCTCCGCCTCCCAGGTTCACGCCATTCTCCTGCCTCAGCCTCCCGAGTAGCTGGGACTACAGTCACTCGCCACCACGCCCAGCTAATTTTTTTTGTATTTTTAGTAGAGACGGGGTTTCACCGTGTTAGTCAGGATCGTCTTGATCTCCTGACCTCATGATCCGCCCTCCTTGGGCTCCCGAAGTGTTGGGATTACAGGCGTGAACCGCTGCGCCTAGCCCACCATTTGCCTTTTTAGCCACTGTACCCGCGTGTCGAGGCCTCCTTGGGAATCCCAATTTCCAGCCCATATCATGGTCTTGGCCCCGGCTTGCAGCTGCTTTCACATCTCAAACCTCACCAGCCTAGTCCGACTCTAGGTCAATGACTACTGGTCAGAGGGGGCGTCCCTGGTGAGCCCTGTGGCCACACTAACCCATGACTGAAGGCTCCTGAACCCTTCTTCAGGTCAGCTGTCTGCACACCAGCATGTGGCCACCAGCCCAGGACACCCTTGTAGTTTCCCAGAGTCTTAGCAGCATGCACGTTGCGGTGAGAGCACTGCGCAGGGAGCAGTAAGACAAGGAACTTGTGCTCAGCTCTGTCCTGTGCCACATCAAACCAAGCAACAGGCCACATTGCTTGGCTTGATCCCAGTTCTGCCACGGGCAGAGCCCTCCACTGCTCTGAGCCTCTGTGTCCTTGTGGGTAACAGAGACCAGTGGCAGCAAGCCCTCTCAAGGTCCTGTAAGGGTGACGTGGGAGGATGCGGGCAGAGCTCTTGGCACAGGCGCTCTACAAAGTCGAGGCTAAGCCAGTGTGAGCTGCTGCCACCGTCTACCTCCTGAGGCTGTTACTAAGGCCAGTGGCTGGAAGGAATCTGGCTCACCCCCAACCCTAGTGCACTGAGCCTCACTCTGCCCCCGTGCCAGGAGGCTCATCCCGCCTCTTCCTGGATCCCAGGCACGCTCATCTGTTCCATCCACAGCACTAGCGAGCTCGAGGTGTGTTCCTTCTGGCACTGCTGGCTCCTCACCTGGGTACCTGCAGCTCATCTGGGCGGCCACAGCAGCCTCCCAATGGCTCACTCCCTCCCAGCCACCGACCAGTCATTATCGTGCAGCCCTGTCAACCCCATGAGGGCAGGCTTCATGTTTCACTTGCAGCCTGTGGCTCTGGATGGTGACCCTGCTGCCTACTCCCAGCCCCGCTGCCCTGCAGGTCCTTTCCCACTTTCCCAGCCCTCACTTCCTCCTGGTGAGGCCTGGGAAAGTGGGGGGTGTGCTCGCTGATGTCTGCTCTCCTCGTGCCTTGAACATCCACGTAAAACTGCCCTTCCCCACTGGACCATGAGTGCCCGAAGGGTGGGGCTGTGGCCACCTGGATGACGCTGTGCTGCAGCCTGCCGGTTGGCTGAGCACGGGGCAGCCCCAGTGCAATTCTCTGCACATTAACACGTGTGGGTGGCTGGTCCCTGTGAGCCGCGGCTCATGGTCCGGCCCCTGCGGGCTTCTCAAGGTGGTCACACTCCCGGTTTCCTAAGCTGCTCTCACTCCTGCCGGGTGGAGGGGCTCCAGGAACCTGTGATCGCTGAACTCCATTTTCCTCCCTTCTGTTTGGAAGCTCATTCCCATGTACTACCTGCAGGCTTGCCCTAATGAGATGTATGTATGGAATGTTATGTATGGAATGTATGGAATGTTCCAGAATGCCTTCAATCATTTCAGCCGTAAAGCCCCACCCACCACATGCACAACCTCTTGTCTAATGCAGGGGTAGCTTGGCAAGGCCTGACTGCTGTCGCTGTGTTTCCAGACTCCCTGATGGGGGCAAGGGGTCCGGGCATCAGCATCCGCTATGGCTCTGCCCCTGTACCAGCCTCACTGGGATGTGGCATGAGGGCAGCTCATGTGGCAAGAGTGGCCTGGGTTAGTCTCACTGCCTCGGGTGCAGAAGGCCCTGAGAACATTTCTGCAGTGGAATGAGTCGCCAGGTCAGGGGGCACAGAAGATTCCGGAAGGACACGAGGGAGGTGTTGTCTTATGAGAGGCACGCTTCTAGCAAACAGTGGGAGTGCTGTCACCGGCACTACAAAGCCCCCAAGCTGCCCCCTCGGAGAACTGCAACTCACATAGAGGCTAAGCCCGAGGTGGGAGATGTGCCCCCACTTGTCCCATACCCCGCACCTCTGCTCCGGTCACAGTCCTATGCACACTTGCTGGGAGCAGGCAGCACGCTGTCCCCGCCCCTGGAGGTGGAACCAGCTGAGGGACTCTTGAGGCTTGGAGGGGAACGCCACATGCTGCCCCGACCAGGCCCCTACACTGGCCTGGGTCAGAGCCAAGCTGCCCAGCTGCCCCCAGGCCAGGGCCCTGACACCCATACAGACTCAGATTAGACCGCGGGAGCTTCCGAGGGGACGAAGGGCCTGTTCTGAGCCTGGGGACTGCTTTATGGAGAACACCACACCAGGGTGGGGCAGAGCCAGGGTGCACCTCCTGCCTCATTTCCGGGCGCCTGGACTGTCCCTGGGCACACAGAGGCTGCCAGGCAAGAAGGGCTCAGACGCCAGGCAAAAAGCCTGTGCCATCCAGAGGGGCAGGCCCTGCCTGGGTTTTGGGGTCACGGGTGCAGAACAGCACTAGGTTTGGCTCTCGGTGGACCCCCAGCGCACATCACCTATCCTGCAGGTGCACGTGGCAGACGCAGTGGCCAGCGATGGAGAGGCGGGGCTCATGCCGGGGGCCTTACCGGGAAGGACTGGAAGAGCTGGAAGGAGCCCAGGAGCCGGATGTAGAGGTGCGAGTGCACCTTTGTGGAGGTGCCGTTGAAGGTGTTGGCCACCACCAGGAACGAGTAGGGCCCCACACTGAAGAACTCCCAGTCGTAGGCGCCAGAGGTGGCAATGGTCTGGTTGGCCTCGAAGAGCCGGGTTGCCGGGTTCCACTTGTAGATGACGCTGTCGATGTTGTGGTTGTCGCCTGGAACCAAAGGACTGTGCTGGGGGCAGGGAGGCAGATTCCACAGCCCCATGGTAGCCCTGACATAGCCAGAGCCCAGTCCAAGTCCCTGCCCTGAGGACCACAGGCCCACGAGGGCAAGGCCAGCTGTTGGGGACATCCCTTCTTACCTTTAGCCTCTCACCCTCAGCCCCTTTCTGACTCCACCTCTGGGCCTTCACAGGTGCCATTCCCATGTGGAAATGCTTGGTGGCCCCCATCGCCCTTGGGACAGGTGTACATCCCCAGGACCTTCCCGTGTCCTGGAGGTGGGGCCCACTGTGTCCTGGCCCCACCGCCCATGGCTCCTCAGCGTCCCCACAGGCCAGGCCTTCCCACACACTGCCACCTCTGCCTGGAGGCTCCTCCCTCTCCACTGTGGAGCTCCCCCATTGGGTGGGTTGTGGGCTCAGGGGAGTGCAGAGCTGTGGAGCCTGGGCAGGGTTGGGTCTGGGGGTCCTGCAGGTGGGGAGATGCCCTCAGACCTGGGCCGGCTCCTGGAGCTACAGGATGGCAGGTACTTGTGGTGGCCACTCAGGGCATTGCCCTGGCCTGGAAAGCAGGTGTCCCAGTGCCTCCCAGGCCGGTGCTCCTCACTGTCTCTGCTGGCACAAGGGAGGACAGCTGCCTGTCCTCAGGAAACAAGGCCATGGAGGCCATCCAGATCCCATGTCCTCGGCAGCTGTCCTCCATTGCACACCTGGCCAGGCCAGCTACCAGGCCAGCATCGCTGCCATGGGCCTGGGCCCATACCCAACATCTGCCCTCCCTGTGCTGGTCAGACCTTTCCTGCGGGGAGATTGCTTAATCAGTCAGTCATTGAGGTAGTCAGTCAGTCACTTGTCAGTCAGTCAGTTATTACAGTTGGTCAGTCAGATAGTCATCAGTCAGTCAGTCACTGAGATAGGTAGTCAAGTAGTCAGGTAGTTGGTCAGTCAGTCGGGTAGTCAGTCGGTCAGTCAGTCAGTCAGCCAGCCAGCCAGCCAGCCAGCCAGCCAGTTAGTCAGTGAGGTAGTCAGTCAGCCAGTCAGTTAATTTGTCAGTCAGATGGGTAGTTGGTCAGTCAGTTGGGTAGTCAGTCAGCCAGCCAGCCAGCCAATTAGTCAGTGAGGTATTTAGCCAGTCAGTCAGTCAGTCAGTCAGGTAGTTAGTCAGTGAGGTGGTCGGTCAGTTGTATCAGTCAGTCAGGTAGTTGGTCAGTCAGTTAGGTAGTTAATAAGTCAGGTAGTCAGGTAGTCAGTCAGTCAGGTAGTTAGTAAGGTAATCAGTCAGCCAGGCAGTTAGTTCGGTAGTCAGTCAGTCAGGTAGGCAGTCAGTCATCAGTCAGTCAGTCAGTGAGGTAGTCAGTTAAGTCAGTGAGATGGTCAGTCAGTAAGTCAGTCAGTTAGGTAGTCAGTCATCAGGTAGTTAATCAGTCAGGTAGTCAGTCATCAGTCAGTCAGTGAGTGAGGTAGTCAGTTGTCAGGTAGTCATTAGTCAGCCAATCAGATAGTCAGGTAGTTAGTCAGTCAGTCAGATAGTCAGGTAGTCAGTCACTCAGTCAGTCAGCCAGTCAGTGAGGTAGGTAGTTAGTCAGTGAGGTAGTCAGTCAGTTAGTTTGTTAGTCAGTCAAGTAATTAGGTAGTCAGCCAGTCAGTTCAGTGGTTAGTCAGGCAGTCGGTCAGTCATCAGTCAGGTTGTTAATCAGGTAGTTGGTCAGTCAGTCCGTCAGTCAGTCAGTTAGTCAGTGAGGTAGTCAGTCAGTTCGGTAGTTAGGTAGTCAGCCAGTCATCAGTCAGGTAGTTAATCAGTCAGGTAGTTAATTATCAGTCAGGTAGTCAGTCTGTCAGTTGTCAGGTAGTCAGTCAGTCATCAGTCAGGTAGTTAGGCAGTCAGTAAGTAAGGTAGTCAGGTAGTTGGTCAGTCAGTTAGGTAGTTGGTGAGGTAGTCAGTCAGCTAGTCAAGTAGTTAGGTAGTCAGTCAGTCAGACAGTCAGGTAGTTAGGCAGGTAGTCACTGTCAGTCAGTCAGTCAGTCAGTGAGGTAGTCCATCAGTCAGCCAGGCGGCCAGCCAGTCAGGTAGTCAACTAATCATTCAGTCAGTCAGACAGGTAGTCAGTCAGTCAGATAGTAAGTCAGTTAATGAGTCAGCCAGTCAGGGAGTTAGGTAATCAGTTAGTCGGAGAGTCAAGTAATTAGTCAGGTAGTCAGTCAGTCAGTCAGTCAGTGAGGTAGTCACTCAGTGAGTCAGTTAGCCAATCAGGTAGTTAGGTAATCTGTCAGTCATACAGTCAGGTAGTTAGGTAGTCAGCCAGGTAGTTAGGCAGTCAATCAGTCAGACAAGTAGTCAGTAAGGTAATTAGTCAGTGATGTAGTCAGGTAGTCAGTCAATCAGTCAGTCAGGTAGTTAGCCAGTTAGTCATGTAATTAGTCATGTAGTCAGTCATCAGTTAGGTAGTTAGTCATCAGTTAGTCAGTTAGGTAATTAGCTAGTCAGTCAGTCAGCTAGTCAGTCAGTCAGGTAGTTAGGTAATCAGTCAGTGAGACAGTCAGTCAGTCAGTCAGTAAGGTAGTCAGGTAATTAGTAGTCAGAGAGTCAGGTAGTCATTCAGATAGTCAATCAGACAGGTAGTCAGTCAGTCAATCAGTCAGTGAGGTAGTCAGCCAGTAGTTAGTCAGCCAGCCAGTCTGGTAGTTAGATAGTCAGTCAGATAGTCATTCAGGTAGTCAGTCGGTCAGTCAGTCAGTCACTCTTTGAGGCAGTCAGTCAGTCAGTCAGTCAGTGAGACAGTCAGTCATTCAGGTGGTCAGTCAGTCAGCCAGTCAGGTAGTTAGTCAGATAATCAGTCAGTCAGGCAGTTAGCTCGTCAGCTAGTTAGTCATTCAGGTTGTCAGTCAGTCAGCCAATCAGGTATCAGTCAGGTAGTCAGTCAGTCAGAGAGTCAGGTAGTCAGTCAGTAAGGTAGTCAGTCAGTCAGTCTGTGATGTAGTCAGTCATTCAGGTAGTCAATCAGTCAGTCAGGTAGTTAGTCATGTAGTTAGTCAAGTAGTCAAGCAGTCAGGTAATTAGTCAATCAGTCATCAGTTAGGTAATTAGGTAGTCAGGTAGTCAGTCAGTGAGTCAGGTAGTTAGTCAGCTAGTCAGTCAGGTAGTCAGTCAGTTAGTTGTTTTCAGACAAGGAGGGAGGATGGCAGGCATTCTGTGCTGGGAGTCAGTCTGGCAGTCCATGTTTCTAGGGTGGCTCTGCTGTGGGCAGGTGCCCCAGGGACAACCAGTAGATATCCGTCCCTCAGACAGTGAGGAATAGTCCAGAATGCATGTTCACCCTGTGCTGTGTGCGGCTTATTGATTTTTAATAAGATACATATTCACCCTGCATGCAAATCTTGCTCTGCCCCTGGAATGGTTGCCTCTGAGTATAAAGGCCACACCTGCCCTACCTTCCCGGTGGTTGGCCACCGCCAGGAAGTGCTCCCCATCCACCTCGAAGGCCTCCCAGTCTCGGGCGCTGTGTGTGGCAATGCTCTGATATGGGGTAAACTTCAGCTTTCTGTGGCTCCATTTGTAAATGACAGAGAACTCCTGACCCTTTTCATCTGGTTCAAAATTAGCCACTGCCAGGAAGATCTGAAAGAGAGTAAACCAGGACCACGTGGTTCTGCTTGGGTCGGTGCCAGGGGCCTGGTGCTGAAGGCTTCTGAACATCAGCATCTCTCTCCAGATCCACGGCTGCTACGTGGTGCAGGGACAGAGGACCGAGGCCCCCGCATTACAGGTCATCATGGTGGGATGGGCGCAGAGCTGGTCATTACATTCATCAAGACCCTTGAAAATGTCCATATTCTTTACCCAATATTTCCACTTCTATTGCTATCTGAAGGCAAAAAACACAAAAGCCAAAATTCCCAAATTCAGGAAAAGCTTCATGCACAAAAATGTTCTTCATAACCCAGATGACCAGAAAAAACTTGTCACAACCTGTTCTCCCGTGTTACAGGTGTGATCACCACGCAAAGCTGTGTCAGGGCAATGTGTGTAAAACATGAACATGGCGCAGTGTGCCCAGGGCTCATAGTGCAGCTGCGTGAACATACAGAATGAAGGGCAAGGTGCATGGTTCATGGACAATGTGCTTGGAGGCAAGGACACGACATGAACCTACATACTCGCTTGGATGATGGAACGAAATATTTTCCCCTTTGCTTTTTGGAATTTTCCAATTTTTCTTTGATGCAAAGTTTTTCTTTATAATAAAAAATTAAAACCTTATGATGTCATCAATCAAAAAAAAAATAGTTATTCACCCGCCATACTGGATGCAAACGCAGCCTGCATGAGGGTGACTATAAGCCACAAGAGAGCAGTTTCTATCTGCTGTGCTCACTGCTTTAGCTGTGTGTCCAGACAGGGCCTAGTGGGTGTGCTTGGCACATTGTAGTCCAGCGAGTGACTATTTGGGGGCAGTCAGGAGGTGCTGTCTCCAGGACATGGCTGCGTGGAGTCCAGGGAGTGGACGGAGCTGGGAAGAGGAAACCCCGTCCTTCCCATTGTGATGTCAACCATCTCCCAGACACACCACCTCGACCCTCTGCCCAGAGCAGCCCTGACAGGAAGGTGGCTGCCAGCCTGCGAGGTCCCACCCGTGGTTCCCCTGAGCCTGGCCTCAGCCTTGCGTGTGGACATCACGTGTCCTCGACATTTGAGGAAAGGAAGGATCAGGAATGTCCATCTTCTAATGTCTTTCTGAAATGATTTGTGGGTTCTTGACCAGCTCATGTAAACACTCTCAACAGGTTTTAAATGTAGTGATAAGGGGTCTATGTAGAACCGGATGGCATCTGGGAAATGGTCTGGTCTTCCATTTTGTGGGAGCTGAGCAGACTGTCTCAAAGTCACATCCTGGATTTAGGGTGGTGGGCTAATGTGTGTGACTCTGTGAGCCTTTTACCACCTGAACGAGGTGTTGACACCATGAGAAACTCCTTTACCTGCAGAATCAGTGTAGGGGCCCCGCCCGTGACTCGGGGCTTTCCAAGTGAAAGGGGATGGAGGAAGTCACCGAACACAGACTTGCCTTTTTCCCGATGGTGAAATGCCTCCAGGCCTGTGCTTGGTGCGTGGGGATGTTCTGATAGGAGACGAACTTCCCTTCCGTCCACTTGTAGACTGCGGATGTGGCTTTGCGGTTGGCTGTGGCCACGAAAAGCCCCACCTGGGGGATGCGGAACACCTCGATGCCCAGGGTCTCTGAGTTGGTGAACAAGTTCTGATGCTCCTCCACGTAGTCCAGTCTTTCTTTGGCTTGTGATAGAAACATTGTGACTCGGTTAAGACTTCTGAGAACGGAAAGCGAGAGTAATCCTCGCGGGAGCACGATCCCCAAGCCCCAAGCCACAAGCCACGACTCCTGCGCCTCGGCCTCGGGCATCAGTTTTCACATTTCACTCACACAGGAAAGGCCTGTCAAAGGGAGGCCGCTCACTGCTGCCAGGGGCTTGTGATCTGTGCAGCCCCCAGTGATACCGACAGGATGACGCTTACACATCGTGGCCTTGTTAAAAGGCTCACTGCTTCTGTGGCAAGTTGTGCCCTTGATAATGTGAAAGAGAGTTAGCAGCTCACACATGCGCTAGGCGGAACCCGTGCCCGTTTCTCACGGGTAACCCGTCTGGAGCATCTATCGTCACCTCCACTCACCTCCCCAGCAGCGGGAACAGACTGCTGAGAAGGCTCGCTGTCAAAATAACCTTTCAGGCTCTTCATCTCCTTGGATTTCATCTCTGATCTAGCGGACAGGGAGGGTGTGGGCAGAGGCGGCGGCCAGGCCACCCTACCAGGGAGGCTGCAGGGAGGCAGGCATCGTCTTCCCATAGATTGGGAAGAGGTACCAAGTGATGCCCAGCCCTGTCAGCCCATGTGCCATGCCCTGGAGGTTCACATTTCCAAATGAGATGCACAGGCTCGAGGCTCCTGGTGGGGCGGTTTCCTGTCCTGAGTGATGCCTGCCCTGAGGAGGGCCCGTGGCTGGGAGTCCTGCGGCTCTAGGGAGGGCAGTGTCCTGGCTTGCTGGCCATCCTGGCCGCCCCTTGCTTTGGGGGTCAGTACTGACGCTGCCTGTCACTCTCAGAAGTGCCCCAGCCTGACGGCCAAGCCTGAGGTCATTCAGAGGTGGCTGAGGTGCCACCTTTCCTAGCCTCCACTCCCAGTCATGCTGTGCCAGAGTGGCCCTGCATGCCGATGCCCCGGGTGCAGGGCTGCCTCACCTGCTAACACGGAGACCCACTCGTTGCCAACACACAGGTACAGCCCCTTCCGGCTAGCATCAAACCAGAACTGGGCGTCTTCCATCTCGGTACACGGTGGCCGGGGTCCCAGCGTCACTCGAATGTTGGTTTCTGAGGGGAAGACCAGGAAGATGAGTATCTAGCAAGCCAGTGCCCCCCAAGGAAGACAACGCAGGAGGAGGCCCCAAACCAGGCTGCCCTGCCTCAGCCTCTGCAAGCGGGCCTGGAAGGGTCCCTGCAGGCACCTTGGCACAAGCCTGCCACATCGCAGGTGGGGAAGTGAGAACCTGGCCTACTGGTGATGAAGGACATCGTGATGCCCCCTATATGGTCAGCCCACCCTCTGTCCACTCTGGAAGGCATAGCTTTCCATCCCATTGAGACGGAAAAGCCCTGCTCCTCTGGGAGTCCTCAGCGATTGCACATGGTGCGGTCTCCTCTCGGGAGGGAGTCCCTGTTGACACTGGTGTATCTTAACTACGGCTTGGCTTGGATCTGTGACAGTTTGATCCCATCACTTCCAGTAGTCACACCCCACTGTGGGTCCTAATTCTGCCACCTCTTGACTCTACGTGGGACATCTGTGCACCTGCCAGCCGGTGCTGGCCTGTGGTGTGACACAGTATACAATGCAGCCCGGATGTGTTGGAGGTGGGGGCTCCCCTACCTGGTAACCACTAACCCTGAGGCTCGGGGGCTCGGCTGTTCTCCACCTCGCTGTCCCTTGGGGTGGCCGCTGAGCAGTGGGGATGTGGCGGGGAGGGGCATTTCAGATTCTCCATGGCGGGAGTGTGGTTTAAATAAATACAGTCACCCTTGTAACTTCACACAAGAGAAAGCCAAGTGGGGAGGCCCTCTGGGCCAGGGGGATTGTGGAAGACGTGAGTGTAGGGCCAGAGTGGGCCCGACTGGGGCGTGCTGGTCTAGATAATGGTGGGACAGAGGTGGGGTAGGGAGAAATGGCCCAAACGCTGTCCTTGGGGGGTAAAAGGGGATGAGGGATGTCAGATAGCTCTGGACAAAGACTTTCTAAAGTAAGTTAGGCCTGCTGTCTGCCTGGGGTCCCCAGGAAGGGGCTGGATGGCTGTCATGGGAGTGCTTGGAGGGGAGGGCAGGATGACACTGGCCTGTCTGATGGTGCCGCCTGCCTTCCTGGGGGTGGGCCCCAAGCATCTCCCTGGCCATTGTGACCGCTGCCCCCAGTGGGAGTGACGAGAGGAGCAAGCACATGGTGGGGGGTGCTGAGAGCTGAGCCCTGAGTTCCTGCCTGGTGTGAGACCAGGGCTCTCGCGTCTGCCTTTGGTGCGGGGGCCGGCGGCCCCCCTACTAACCGTAGGGATATTTTAGCACCTCGTTATCTTCTGGCTTCCCCGTGAGAGCCTGCAGGACCCGTGGGATGGACAGCACTGCCAGCGGGGCATTCCTGCTGGGACACAGCCTTGGGGTGGCGTCTGAGCCGGGCAGCAGGACCAGCTGCCTCACCAGGCCCTGCGGAGAGAGGGACAGTTCCTTCAGGCCCACGCTGCTGGGGAGGGACCCGCTGAGGAGGGGACCACTGGGCTTGGCCCATCCAGACCCCGGAGGAGGGTGGGGTGGATGGAATCTAACCTTTTGCAGAGGTAAGTGGGAAGAGTTTACATGATGGTTACTGAGGAGGCCGTGGGAGCAATGGTGAAGAATTGCCCCCGCTTCCGAGGGAACTCACAGAAGGGTTTGTGTGAACCTGGAGTGACTGGCTACTCTGCTCATCCAATAGCCCATCCACCCATCTGTTCATCCATGCATTCATCCATCCATCTGTCCATCCCATTCCATCCCCATACCATCCATCTCATCCCACTCATTCACCCCACCACTCATCTCCAATCCATTACCATCTCCCATCCACCCCATCCTTCATTCATGCATTCATCCATCCATCTGTCCATTCATCCATCCATCCACCCATTCACCCACCACTCATCCATCCACCCCTCCATCCACCCATCCATTCATCCATCCGTCCATCCATCCATCCATCCACCCATTCACCCACCACTCATCCATCCATTCCTCCATCCACCCATCTGTTCATTCATGCATTCATCCATCCATCTGTCCATCCATCCATCCATCCACCCATTCACCCACCACTCATCCATCCACCCCTCCATCCACCCATCCATTCACCCATCCATTCATCCATCCATTTAGCCATCCATCCATCCAACCCATTCATCCATCACTCATTCATTCATCCCTCCATTCACCCATCCATTCATCTTTCTCTCCATCTGTTCATCTCTCCACCCATTCATCCACCCATCCATCCATCTATCCATCCATCCATCCATCCATCCATCCATCCATCCATCCATCCATCCATCGTCCATCCCTCCATCTGCCCATCCACTCATCCATCTGTCCAAACATGCATCAATAAATATTCAGAGCATCTGCTATGTGCCAGGCATGGCTCTAGCCACCAGACTCAGCAGGGAACAAAGACCTCTAGCCTCATCGAGTGAGGTCCCTGCTCACACGTGAGTGGAGACACAGGCACTGAGCAGACACACAGCTGGCCTGAGAGCAGTCAGCACTACTGAGGAAAGACAGCTCCAGGGAACGGGCTGCAGGGCAGAGTGTGGGCATTGGCTCAGTGTGGTGGGGGCAGCCTGAAGAGGACCGTTGGGCAGGGACCCAAGACCATGAGGGAAGAGGGTGCCAGGAGGAAACAGCGGTGCGAAGGTGCTGTGGCAGAGACTCCACACACACTGTGCCTTCTTTTCCCAGTTAGCACATTCAAGGATCTGTTTAGAGCAGTAAGACAACCGGCCTGGGGCAGTCCCATCCCACAGCACGGGTGTTGGGAGGGCAGCCCCTCCATACTCACCGTGAACAGGCCTTTGGCTCTCCTCCGGCTGCCGACGAAGAATCGGGCTCCTCTCACCGACAGGGTGGCCGGGAAGGGCACATCGGCCATTCTGAAAATATCAGAGGACAGTGTTAGGGCCACAGGAGAGTGGTCGCACCAGTTTACTCACAGAAGGAGCGGGAATGAGCCCCTCACTAAGCAGCATGCACCGTGCCGTGGCTGCCACACAAAGGACGGCACACGGCCGATCGCCTGCACAGCTCTGGAGGCCAGTAGCCTGGATCAAGCTGGGGCAGGGTTTCTCCGAAGGCTCCAGAGGAGGACGCTTCCTCGATTCATCAGCTTCCGGTGGCTCCAGGTGCTCCCCGTGACCTGTGGCCATGTCACTCTGGTCTCTACCTCTCCCCTTATCTGTCTCCTGGTAAGGGTCCTAGTCGCACTGAAGCAGGGCCTGCCTCACTCCAGGATGACCTCAGCTTGACTTGATGACTGCAAAGACCCTGTTTCCAGGTAAGGTCATGTTCATGGGTGCTGCGTGGACATGAATTCTGGGGGGCACTTCACCCCAGGGCCAGGGCCTTCTGCAGAAGTGTGTGGTGACATGCTTAGTGGTTCTTCTCCATCTCACGGTGAATGTGCCATGGCTTCAACCTGTACAGGGTCCTCCGGCCCACTCACCCTCCCTCCACTGAGCTCCTGCACCATCACCCGGCCTGGGGTGCTGGGACACATGGCTTCAGGGCAGGAGGAGGCTGGTGACCCACGAGGGTGTCAGGAGCAGGCGGTCTTGATGAGTGAGTGGAGGCTGAACACCGGAGATGGAGCAAGGTGGGTGGCCACTGGGGGACGGCGTGGCTAGAGCTCCTGGGCAGAGGAGCAGGGGTGCCTTCGGGCTTGCCTCCCCAGCCCACGCTGCCACTGTCTCTTGTAAAACGTCTGCTCCTTCCAGTCTTTGCCATCTGGCTGCAGCTGGCCATGGTGAACTCAGCTCCTGCCCTGCTGTCCCAGAAGGCCCCGTCCTCTGCACACAGCTTGGCCTCTGCTAGGGTCCAGGCTTCTGGCCCCTGAAGCCCTGGCCTGTACCCTCCATGGCAACCTGCCAAGGGCTTAAGTTCTTCCGTGGCCACAATCGGCTCCAGGCCTGTGACTCCTCATGTCCCACCATCTCCCCCAGGAAGTCCACTTTTAAAACATTCGGGGAACATTCCTAATCATTATGCTTTCCACCCTAATTTCTTCCTTTCTCCTGAGGAGGCAGGTGAATGTCTGTGCAGGCCTCAGGCGCTGCCGCTGCATCATTCCTAGCTGCTGTGGCAAAGCCAGTCAGGCGGCGTTGATGTCCAGCCAGAAGGCCTTTCTTTACAGGGTGGGAAGCCGCTGCCAGGCCAGGTTGTCTTCCGCCCGCATGGCACCTCCCTGGGAGACTCTCAGCTCTCGGGACCTGAGAACTCATCACCCTCCTGAGGGCCCAAATGAATTTGGGGTAGGGTGGGAGAGAGGCTATGATAAAAGTGTGTTTAAACTAGCTGCATAATAAAAATACTTACAAGTTTCGTAACAAAACAGAAGATCCTACCTTTGAAAGTAATATTTGAAGGCTGGGCGCGGTGGCTCAAGCCTGTAATCCCAGCACTTTGGGAGGCCGAGATGGGCGGATCACAAGGTCAGGAGATCGAGACCATCCTGGCTAACCCAGTGAAACCCCGTCTCTACTTAAAAAAAAAAAAAAAAAACTAGCCAGGCGAGGTGGCGGGCGCCTGTAGTCCCAGCTACTCGGGAGGCTGAGGCAGGAGAATGGCGTAAACCCAGGAGGCAGAGCTTGCAGTGAGCTGAGATCCGGCCACTGCACTCCAGCCTGGGCGACAGAGCGAGACTCCATCTCAAAAAAAAAAAAAAAAGTAATATATGAAATAATACTTTACTATTTAATAGATTTAATATAAACTGGATCATTTGCAATTAAAAAGACAGAAGCGCAGTCCTACTCCACAGTGGTAGATCCTGACATTGGTAACCAACTGGCTGAGCTATGGGGACTGAGGGCTCCTGTCCAGGGGACCTACTGTCAGGCCACAGAAACCAGGTGACGTCAAAAACGAGAAACAAACTAGGCTTCCAAAAGCCCCCATTGTGTCCAAGGCTTCAAAGGATAATCTTGTACTCATTTGGAGTTTTTGTCAATATTTGCTCCCTCGTCCGCGAGGAACCTGCCATGTGGAGTCGAAGCCAGGCCTGGGCCTCCAGCCTGGAGGTTGGGGAAGGAGTTACTCCGACTTCCTGCGGCTGCCTGTTGTGATGTTAACGCCCTCCCCACAGTGCTGGTCCCCTGCCAAGTCCCCTGAGCTACTTGTAGAAAAGGAGTGTGCTTGGTGTGATCGTCCTTACCTGGTTCTAAGCCGCTGAGTCTGATGTGCAGCGGGTTTTGTGTTTAAGACATGGAGAAACATTAAAATCTGGGTTTTGACAGCAGTGTGCTTCATAAACTCTCCCTGGATTCCCTTTCCAGCCCGAATCCAGGGCATCACTCACCACCTGCTCTCGCCAATGCCCACTCTGCCCACAGATGGTGAGCCTGCCTCGCCCCATGCAGCCCTTCAGAGGTTGGCAGGGAGCATGACCTGACCTCCCATGGTCAGCCCCTGCCTCATGAAAGGCTCCTGCTCCCTGGGCGGCTCCTGCCCCGTGGATGGCTCCTGCCCCGTGGGCGGCTCCTGCCCCGTGGATGGCTCCTGCCCCTCCGCCCTGTGACTCCTGGCCCTGGTCGGCTCCTGCAGGCATTGCCCGGTGAGCATGGCTGAAGGACGCCCGGCCTGGCAGGACTCTGTGGGCCGCAGGTGCACCCTCCCCGGGTGGGTACCTACATGTCCACTGGGAGGCCGCAGTCCGTGGTGAGGGAGAAGATGCCTGCAGACACAGCCAGGACCAGCGTGTGCCAGCGACTGTCCACCAGGGCCGGGCTGCGGAAGGACACTCGGGTCTGCCAGGCGCCGGCCGTGTCCTCGCGAAGGAACAGGAAGTGCAGCTGGGCAGGCGAGAACCGCAGGCCCAGCAGCAGCAGGTCGCTCTCCTCCGCCACCACCGTCAGCAGGTACTCGTTCCTCTGCGGAGACAGGGCCAGACTCAGGACGGGACGGGGGTAGGGGTCGGGCACGGGGGCGGGGCAGATGGGAAGGGCAGAGGTGATGAGCACAGGTGGTGAAAGGAGAAGGGGCTGACTGGAGGGGCGGGGCGAGGCGAAGGGGTACGGTGGATGGGAAGGGCAGGGCAGATAGGGGCCCTCTAATTGGCCCTCTAATAGGGACGGATGGGGTTGATGGAGGGCTAGGGCTGGTGCGAGGGGTGGGGCTGGTTCGAGGAGTAGGGCTAGTGTGGGGTGGGGCTGGTGTGAGGGGTTGTGGCTGGTGTGAGGGGTTGTGGCTAGTGTGAGGGGGTGGGGCTAGTGTGAGGGGGTGGGGTAAGTGTGACGGGGTGGGTGGGTGTGTGAGGGGGTGTAGCTGATATGTGAGAGGGTGGGGCTGGTGTGTGAGGGGTGGGGCTGGTATGTGAGAGGGTGGAGCTGGTGTGAGGGGTGGGACTGCTGTGAGGGGGTGGGACTGGTGTGAGGGGGTGGGGCTGGTGTATGAGGGGGTGGAGCTGGTGTGTGAGGGGCGGGGCTAGTGTGAGGGGTGGGGTGGTGGTGAAAGGGTGCGTGTGTGAGGGGCAGGGCTGTTGTGAGGGGGTGGGGTAGGTGTGGGGGGTTGGGTGTGCGTGAGGGACGTGGCTGGTGTGTGAGAGGGTGGAGATGGTGTGAGGGGGTGGGGCTGGTGTGTGAGGGGGGTTTGGCTGATATGTGAGAGGGTGGGGCTTGTGTGTGAGCCATGAGGCTGGTATGTGAGAGGGTGGAGCTGGTGTGGGATGGGTGGAGCTGGTGTGAGGGGGTGGGGCTGGTGTGAGTGGGTGGGACTGGTGTGAGGAGGTGGAGCTGGTGTGAGGGGTTGGGGCTGGTGTGTGAGCCGTGAGGCTGGTGTGAGGAGGTGGAGCTGGTGTGGGATGGGTGGAGCTGGTGTGAGGGGGTGGGGTTGGTGTGAGGGGGCGGGACTGGTGTGTGAGCCATGAGGCTGGTATGTGAGAGGGTGGAGCTGGTGTGGGATGGGTAGAGCTGGTGTGAGGGGGCGGGACTGGTGTGTGAGCCGTGAGGCTGGTATGTGAGAGGGTGGAGCTGGTGTGGGATGGGTAGAGCTGGTGTGAGGAGGTGGAGCTGGTTTGGGATGGGTGGAACTGGTGTGAGGGGGTGGGGGGTGGGTGGGGGGGGGGGGGGGTGGGGGGGGGGGGGGGGGGGGGGGGGGGGGGGGGGGGGGGGGGGGGGAGCGGGTGAGGAGGTGGAGCTGGTGTGTGGGGGTGGAGCTGGTGTGAGGGGGTGGGGCTGGTGTGAGGGGGTGGGGCTGGTGTGAGGAGGTGGAGCTGGTGTGGGATGGGTGGAGCTGGTGTGAGGGGGTGGGGCTGGTGTGAGGGGGTGGGGCTGGTGTGTGAGCTGTGAGGCTGGTATGTGAGAGGGTGGAGCTGGTGTGTGAGGGGTGGAGCTGGTGTGAGGGGGTGGGGCTGGTGTGAGGGGGGTGGGGCTGGTGTGAGGGGGTGGGGCTGGTGTGAGGGGGCGGGACTGGTGTGTGAGGGGTGGGGGTGGTATGTGACAGGGCTGATGTGTGAGAGGTGGGGCTGCTGGGCCAGGGGCAAGGCTGGCGCCAGGGAGTAGGGACTGGCTTAGTCAGGAGCACGGGTCCATGGTAGAACCAAAGGCACCCCCACACACTAGGATGGCTAATGCCCAAAGAACAGAATGTGTTATGCTGGCGACAATGTGGAGAAACGGGAACTATTGTGCACTGTTGGTGGGAAACTAAAATTGTACAGCCACTGTGGAAAACAGTGGCTCAAAAAGTTATAAACAGAATGACCAAATGATTCAGCAATTCCACTTCTGGGTCCATTCTCAAAAGAATTGAAAGAGATGCTTGTACACCCATGTTCATAGCAGCTTTACTCACAATTGCCAAAAGGTAGAAGCAACACAAGTGTCCATGAACAGATGCATGGGTAAACACAATGAGGTCCATCCACACAGTGGAGTAACAGTCAGCCATAAAGAGGGAAGGAAATGCTGACACACACTACAACATGGATGAACCCTGGGGATGTTCCGCTTATATGAGGTCACTAGACTGGTCAGATTCACAGAGACAAAAGGTAGAATGGTGGGTGCTGGGGCTGGGGGGTGATGGGGAGTGAGTGTTTAATGGGTGTGGAGTTTCAGTGTTGAGAGACAAAGAAGTTCTGGAGATGAATGGTGGTGATGGCTGCACAACAACATGAATGTCCTGAATGCCACTGACTGTATCCCTAAAAATAGTTTCGATGGTAAATTTTATGTTATGTGTATTTTACCACAGTTGAAAAACAAGAATGAATACAAATGCAGTGTCCACCAAGACCTCAGAGCTTTTTGGCTTCCTTTCCAATTTGGGTTATGTGAAATGAAGTACTTGATTATACTTATTTGCAATTTAGATTCCATTAACTCCTAGCCTAACACAATTAAAGAATTGAAAGTGATTAAGCCTGAAAGGTAAAGCAGGTGTGAAAACAGAGAGTATACAGTCATGTGAGGCCAGACCATGTTTCACCGACCGTGCACAGCACAGGGGATGGTGGTCCTGTAAGATTATAACACTGACTTCTTACTGTATCTTGTCTGTGTTTAGAAACACAAATACACTGTTTGTACACTGCGACTGCCTGCAGTATTCACACTGTAGCGTGCTGTAAGGTTTGCAGCTAGGAGCCGTAGAACCTTGGTGTGCAGCATGTGCACCATATGTGTGCACCATACAGCCTAGGTGTGTAGTGGGCTGCACCGTCTAGGTTTATGTAAATACACTCGGTGATGTTCACACGATGACAAAATCGCCTAAAAAATGCATTCCTCAAAACGTAATCCCGTCATTAAGCAACACATGACTGCATATATATTTTTAGCAAGTCTTTGTCCATGTAAAATTGGAAGCCATATTCTAGGCAGCCACTTTTCTAAAGAAGCCAATCACCGCCTATGGTCTGCTTTTTTTTTTTTTTTTTTTTTTTGAGACAGAGTCTTGCTGTGTCACCCAGGCTGGAGTGCAGTGGCGCAATCTCAGCTCACTGCAAGCTCCCCCTCCTGGGTTCAAGCGATTCTCCTGCCTCATCCTCCTGAGTAGCTGGGATTACAGGTGTGCACCACCATGCCTGGCTAAGTTTTGTACTTTTTAGTAGAGACAGGGTTTCACCATGTTGGTCAGGCTGGTCTCGAACTCCTGGCCTTGTGATCCGCCCACCTCGGCCTCCCAAAGTGCTGGGATTACAGGCATAAGCCACTGTGCCTGGCCACAGTCTGCATATTTAATTTAATGTTCAATTCAGCAAAACCTACTTGTCCTAGTTTGGGTCCCATGCCCCTGGTTGTCCTCGGAGTGGAGAGGACAACCCAGCCCCTTTGATGCTATGGTGGGAGGCGGCCACCTGAACTCACCCCGCTCCCCATGAGAGGGAACACTCCCAGCTGGAGGTTTTCAGAGCATGGGTGTGATGTGTGGATGCCAGTAAGAGACAAAGGAAAGACAAAATCCTTCCAGTGATGGTGGGAACGTTAGGGAGCCTTGAGGTGGGGCAGGGAGCTGGCTGGGAAGGGAGAGCTGAGCCCACAGCCAGGAGAATTGTGGCAGGGAGTCTCCACCCCAGCCCTGCTCACACCCAGGGCATAAGGGGGCTGAGCAGGACTGAGCCTTCCTGGATGTGGCCGGAGTCCCACTTGGTAACCCGTCCAGAGGAGGTAGGCCACTGCCCTCATTCCTAAAAACAGTCATGGCTGGAGGAGACCAATGTCAGCTCACACCATGTTTTCCCCCCAGGAGCACAACAGGAAAAGAGAATGGTGACCAAGGACAGTTTATTGGGGAGCAGGAGGAGGTGCTGAGAGGCTCAAGTTGAGGCCAGGTGACCCAGTGCAGAGAAGCTGGGAGGGAGGACAGGGGACCCAGCAGGCATGTGGGCACATGGTGGGAGGCAGGAGCTGGGGAGCAGCAAGGATGGGACTCCTGGGAGCAAGGAGGGGGAGGTCACCTCAGCACAGGGGAGACACAGGGACCCCATCCCAGGTGGGGGCAGCCACCTAACCCAGGTCAGGACCTGAACCTGGCTGGCCCTGGGGGACATGCCTGTCAGCAGCTGGACTCCTGGCCTGAGAAGAGGCCTCAGCAGGCCGGGCGGGAGCACGTGGGGCGGCAAAGGAGGGACACGCAGGAGGCCGGGCGGCAGCAGCTGGGCTGGCAGGAGGAGGTGGGGGCACAGCAGGAGGGGACGGGCACGCAGCCGGTGGAGCTGCACACGGGGCGGCAGAGGAGGGACACAGAGGAGGAGGGTCTGCAGCAGGAGGTGGTGCAGCAAGCCGGCCGGCAGCTAGACTGCTGGCAGCACAGTGAGGAAGCCCCAGAGCACACAGGCACACAGCAGAAGGACTTGCAGCAGACGGGCTTGCAGCAGACAGGCACACAGCAGGCCTGCTGGCAGGAGGAAGAGGCACAGCAAACTGGCTGGCAGCTAGACTGCTGGCAGCATGAGGAAGCCCCACAGCAGACAGGCACACAGCACACAAGCTTGCAGCAGACGGGCACATAGCAGGCCTGCTGGCAGGGGGAGGAGGTGCAGCAAGCCGGCTGGCAGGTAGACCGCTGGCAGCATGAAGAGGAATCCCCAGAGCAGGTGGGCACACAGCACACAGGCTTGCAGCAGACGGGCACACAGCAGGCCTGCTGGCAGGGGGAGGAGGTGCAGCAAGCCGGCTGGCGGCTAGACTGCTGGCAGCACGAGGACGTGCAGGAGCTGGTGCAGCCTGATTGGCAGGGGCTGGGCTCACAGACCACCTGGCAGCAGGGGCTGGACACACAGCTCACTGGGGTGCAGACCAGGGTCAGGCAGGGGGCTGGGGCGCAGCAGCTGGGGGCGCAGCAGGGGGGCTCACAGCAGCTCTCTGGGCAGTCGTCCACCTGCCAGGAGGAATCAGTGCAAGAGTCACCGGATCTGGGCAGGCAGACCCGGCTGCTATAGCTCAGATCACTGGAGCAGAGGGACATGGTGGATGCGGCCATACTGGGGGTTGAGCCGGGGGTGTGTGTGCGTGAGTGTGTGTGTGTGTGTGTGTGTGAGTGAGTGCCTGAGGTGCTGTGGGCAGCTGGGCTTTTATATCTGGCTAGGGTGTGTGTTGTTCTAGCTGGAGGCTCCACAAGTCTTCCCTTTCCTTGTTGGTGTTTTGAGCTGGGTCCTTGGAGTCCTCATTCATTCTAGTTTATTTACACAACACTATTTGCCCAGCCTGTAAAATCCCTGATTAGGGTTGAGGGCTGGGTTGATGCCCTGTTCTGTGCCTGGTGCTCTAAGCAGACATTTCACAGAACATGTATCCTCAGCATGCAGGCTGCCTTTTGAGCTGTGCACTTTGTTATGTTGCAGGGGACCTGAAATCCCAGACTCTGTGCCTGGGCAACAGGGCGCTGAAAGTCAGGACAGAGTGAGGGCCCCTCTGATGAGTGCTGCTCATGAGCTGAAGACGCCCTGCACGCAGAGAAGGGCTGAACAGCAGGCTGGAGCCGCTGCGGCGAGAAGGAGTTAACGGGAAGAGAGAAAGAAGTGTCTCACACACAATGCAAAATGACACAGATGGCATATATAGGAGAAAACTTAAGAGAAACATGATTCTTCCAGAATATCCAATGTTCATCAAATAGGATTTTCCAGAAAGAGCGGCAAAAGGGAGAAATCAAAATCGGAGAAAACTTCCCAGGATGGAATGAAACCAAGGGTCTTCAGATTTGAAATTTTACCAAATATGGGACAAACTGAATGGAGAATGCTGCACATCTGGACAGGCTGGTGACACTTCTGACACCAAATATAAAGAAAAACCCTAACAACCTCTAGAGAGACTGGCATCCTACTGCAGCTTAGAAAATCTGCATGTCCAACGACAATCGAACCAAGTCTTCAGTCTGCGGGAAAGTTACTGGGAATATCGAACTCTACTAAATCATCTGGTCTAACGGAAATCAGAGCGTTTCACACAATGCAACTATGAAATGTCTTCAGAGCATATAGTCCCACAAAACAAAAAGCAACTTCAAAGAGAAGTATAATACATAAAAGAATAAGGAGCAAAAAAAAAAAAAAAATCAAAAATTAGGTTCTTAACTTCTTTAGGGAGAGGAAGTACACCTGCTTCCCTTAACCTTATAGAACCAAGTAGCAATGATTAATCCTCTTCCTCCTTATCCTCATCCTTCTCCTCCTCATCCTCCTCCTCCTCCTCCTCCTCCTCCTCTTGCTTCTCCTCCTCGTCCTCCTCCTCCTTGTCCTCCTCCTCCTTGTCCTCCTCCTCCTCCTCCTTGTCCTCCTCCTCCTCATCATCCTCCTGCCCTCTCCCCCTCTTTCTCCTTTTTCATTTAATTCACCCTTTGTGGTGCATAGTTCCATGAATTTTGACAAGTATTTCAAGTCCTGTATCTACCACCACAGTGCCAGACAGAGGAATTCCAGCATCCTCAAAAATCCCCTTGTGTTGACTCACTGTCTCTTCTAGAATGTCATGTAACTTGGACATTCAGTGTGTAGAATAATGAATGGAATCACGCAATATGCCACCCGGCAGGTCTCACTTGTTTCACTGAGCAAAATGCGCTTGGGATTCATCCAAGTTGTGCTGTATGTCAATAGTTTATTGCTTTTAATTGCTCAGTAGTATTCCATTGTATGGATATACCACAGGTTGTTTACCCATTCAATGATTGAAGGATGTTTTGTCTCCTGTTTTGATGATTATGGACAAAGCTTCTGTAAACATTGTTTGTGTACAGTTTTTGGCAGCCTTGAACTCCTGGGCTCAAGTGATCCTCCTGCCTCAGCCTCCCGAGTAGCTGGGACGATATGCACATGCCACCTGCCCAGGTAATTTTAAAGTTTTTATATGGATGGAGTCTCGCTATATTGCCCAGGCTGGTCTTGAACTCCTGACCTCAAGCAATCCTCCCAATTCAGCCTCTCAAAATGCTGGGATTACAGGTGTGATCCACTGCTCTGGCCTGTTTTTATTCTTTTAATGCTTGTGGGATATGTGGTAATGCCTCTTCTTCCCTTCCTGAGATTGACAATTTGTGTCTTTGTTATCTTTTCCCAGTAAGTTTAACTAGATGTTTATTAAATTTATCTTTTCAAAGACCAAGCTTTGGTTTCACTGATTATCACATTGTTTTATTATTTTTCACTTAATTTCTGCTTTTATCTTTACTGTTTCATACTTTATGCCTGCTTCAGGATTAATTTAGTCCTTTTTTCATTTAAAAACTTTAACCTCTTTGTGTCATTTTATGTAAAGTGTACTTCTTGCAAGAAGCATAGTTGAGATTTGCCTTTTTATCTAATCTGACAGTCTCTTTTCCATGCCTCCTCCTCTCTCTTCGTGAGAACCCCAATTACATGTATGTGAGGTTACTGGATATTTCCTACAACTCACTAGTGCTTTGTTTTTTTGTCTCTGTGTTTCCTTTTAGATCGTTTCTATTGCTATGTCTTCATATTCACTTGATTTTTCTTCTGCAGTGTTTATTCTGCTGTTAATCTCATCCAGTGTAATTTTCACCTCAGGTATTGTTTTCCTCTCTAGATGTTCTCTTTGTGTCTTCTTTAAAAAGATCCTCCTCGTCTTTCCTTGATATGCCTACATTTTCTCTAACTTCTTGAATATATGGAATATAGTTATGACTCTTTAATGTCCTTGCTTACTAACTCTATGATCTGTGACATTTCTGAGTTAGTTTCACCTGATCTGGTCCTTAATAGGTGCCACATTTTCCTGCCTCTTTGCATGCCTGGTAGTTTTTGAATGGATGCCAAGCATTGTGAATTTTATGTTATTGGGTGCTGGATATTTTGATTCCTACGAATGCTCTTGAGCTGTGTTCTAGGGTGCAGTTAAGTTACTGGAAAGCTCATTATCTTGCAGCTTGCCTATAAGCTGGGTTAGGCAGGACTGGACCAGTGGTTACTCTAGGGCTAGTTGTGCTCCCACTTCTGAGTCATCTACCCAATGCCTTGAAAACTATGAGGCTTTTCCACCCCAGCAGGTGGGAGTTGGCACTATTTCTGGCTCTGTTTGGTCTCTGAGGGTTATGGCACCTAATTTTATCAGTTCTCTCCAGTCTCAGTCTCACACACATTTGCTGGTCATTACTAAGCTGAAGATTTGAGGGGACCTCTGTGGAAGCTGGCAGCTCTCTTGGTGCAGCCCTTTCCCCTCTGGCACTCTGTCCTAGGAACATGAACTGCCTTGGTCTTCCTTGCCTCCCAGATCCATCTCTGAAACCCAGGTTCCCCTGTCTGCACTGTCTCCTGGAAACTCTCTAAGCAGGGTGTTGGGAGGGATGGTCGTGAGACTTCTGTGTTTGCCTCCTGCTCTCAGGGGTGCCTGTGCTGTGCTGCCTCAAGCCCAATATCCCAAACCACTGTTGCATGATTTTGATAATTGTTTCAGCTGGCCCAGGTGGGAAAGTCCATCTAGTCCTTCTTACTCCATCCTGGTGTGTTACTGAAACACCCGGGGTTCAGTCTGGGTCCTGCTGTTCACACACAAAAAGCCAGTCACTGAGACAATCAGTTGCCCAGGAAGAAGGCTTTAGTCGGGTGCTGCAGCGGAGGAGATGCGAGTTCAGTCTCAAATCCATCTTCCTGACTAAAACCAGGGATTTATGTAGCAGGGAAGAAATGTAACAATGTGTAAAACAAAGGCCTCTCAAAAAAGTATCAATGAGCTTTTTTGCTCATTCAATCAATCAATCAATCACCAGATCACCACATCCTGACAATGAGGCATGGGGCCCCTTGTTCATCATCATTGCTTCCTTGCCCAGATAAAGCAAAGGTTTTGTTTGTTTTTATTTTTGTTTTTTGTTTTTTTGAGACAGAGTCTCACTCTGTTGCCCAGGCTGGAGTGCAGTGGCAAGATCCCTGCTCACTGGAACCTCCGCCTCCCAGGTTCAAGCAGTTTTCCTGCCTCAGCCTCACAAGTAGCTGGGATTACAGGCGCCCGCCACCACACCCAGCTAATTTTGTATTTTTAGTAGAGACGGGGTTTCACCATGTTAGCCAGGCTGGTCTTGAACTCCTGACCTCAGGTGATTTGCCTGCTTCGGCCTCCCAAAGTTCTGGGATTACAGATGAAGCAAAGTTTTGAGCTTTGAGACCAGAAGGATCAATTTCTATGTTTATCAAAACAAAACAAAACAAAACCAAAACAAAAAAACTACCTATGGGGCTATTAGGTCTTTTTCCACCGGAAGTGGACTTTCTGTTCTGCCCAACTTTGTTTCCATTCCAAGCTCCTTACCCTCAGGTTGGGAGACAGAGGGACCCTTCCATGGAAGGAAGCCCTGGTGACTCAGGCTCAAGAGTTCACAGTGGCCGAGTCCAGCCCTGTCAGGCTTCTCCCTGCGGCCACTGGTGCTCCATGGCTGATGGAGAGGAGCGACCTGCCCAGCTGCAGGGGCTGCTCGCACTCTGGCCCCCTTTCCAGGCGGCGCTGGGCTTCTCCCATCCTCAGGCTCCTTCTTTTGTGAGTGCTCCCCTGGGCGTCGTCCTGCACAGACCTCAGCAACACTGGCTTCTGGGCCTGGTTCCTACCCACTCGCATTTTGGGCCCTTGGGTGATATCTTGCCATTAAGTTCTGTCCTAAATGGAACCATGGATTTTTCTTTTTCTATCTGATAATTCTGTTTCTATTTGGGATTTAGGGAGATTTAGAAACTATGCCTCAGGGAACACCATGTCTTTAGAATCCACTTTTCCCCCTCTGAACATTCCTTCTTGATTCTAGTAAATGAAAATTCATAGCAAAAAGGAAATAGAAAGACTTGGTTTAAAAATAAAAGGTTTCTACTTAAACCCCACAGCAAACACCGTGTGCAGTGGTGAACCTTTGGCACTTTCTCATGAAAGTCAGGAACAATCAAGGATTCTTTTAATTTTATTCAGCATTATCCTGGGTGTTCAAAGTAATGTTGCTACAGGAAAAACAATAGAAATGGGAGTTTTAAAGATTGGAAATGAGAAGCTAAATTCTCCTTATTTTCAAATGATAAGCTCATCTACACAGAAAAATCCAAGAAAATCAATGACAAACTGTAAGAACTAATAAGAAAACTTGCAAAGGAAAGGAGCTAAACATATGGTTTGATATGAAGACAATATATATATGAGTAGTTTATATAGATATATATGTAAGATTTATGTACGAAGACAACATAACAGAAAACTGTTCCCCATTCACACTAGTAAAACATCCCTATGAAATACCTAGGAATTAACCCAAAGAGGAATATTTTAGACCTATAGAAGAAAATGATAGAATTCTAAATGGGCCTATTGTACTATGTAACTGCAAGGCAAGACAACATGAACAATTATAGTTTCCTCCTACATATTTAAAAGCTCAATGCAATCCCAATAAAAATTATAGCAGTTTAAAAACTACTTGAAAAGCTTTCTAAAATTAATCGAGAACAAGCTAGAATCAACGTTTTTAGAAAATAAGATAGTGGCACTTTCCTTATGAGCTGTTAGGATGTATTATGAAGCTGAATAACATAGGTAAAACATCTGGAATGGATGCAAGGGTAGATCAAGAGATTCATAGAACAAAATACAAAATATAGATTTCAGAAGCAGACTATTCAAACATTTTTATCAGGTGAAAGAGATGTTTCAAATGGGAGTTGGAGAGAACAAACTAACTTTAAAAAGGGACAGTTGGCTATTGGTGGAAGAGAAAGATTAATACGTCATACCTCACACAAGTCCTATCAGCAAATGGGGCAAAAAGTTGAATCTAGGCAATGACAATGAAACCAGCATCAGCAAATGTAGGCCTGTTTCCAGTCTCAGGGAGTGTGCCGTACAGAAGCAATGACGGGTTTGGAAATATTTGGAGTGCATGTGATGGACAGAGGGTCCCCCAGCCCTAAATCCATAAGACAAACACACAGCATGATGGAAAATGGGCTAAGAATGTGAACAGGAAACAGTGTGGGCGGCCATGCACTTAGGCCATAGTGGGTTCCCAGTAGCCGTCAGTGCAGAGGGCAGGGAGCTGAGAGCAGAGCAGGCCGAGCCGGGGTCACGCAGGGTCCCCCAGTCACTGAGGGCACTGGGCAGCAATCACACGCCCCCCCCTCAGCCCCCCGCCTGGGTTCCACCTCACTTTCTGTGGCGTTTCTGCGCCTGCTGTGACCACAGCCACGGCAGCACCACATCCATCAGGCTGTGGCCGGTCTGGCTGCGGGGCGACTGCAGCATCCCGGGCGGGCATTCTCATCAGGGTTTTGGTCTCTGCAGCTGGCCTGGAGGAGCTTGTCTCAGTCTGAGGACAGACTGCTCTGCTCAGAGCCCCATGTGCTGCCTGATCTTACCACTGTCCCCACTGACGGCCTTTCCCACAGGACACCACAGGCAGCTCATGCCCCCTGCGTGGACCAAGCCTTAGAGAGATGGGAGTGTCGCTGACTGTGTGCCCACACCGGCGTCATCTGTGGGACCCAGGCTCCTCATCCCTATACCTCCGTGGAACCTGCTGCCCCCAGAGAAGAACCCGGGCAGTGCCCAGGTTTCGGGGAATCCTGTGCATCCGTCCGCCCACCCCATGATGCTTTTGTCCCCATCAAGTCCCTTGTTTCCTGTGCAGGTGCAGCACCCCTCACTCTCCCCTCGCATTGCTGCTAAATGGGCAGAACCCTCAGGGGGTGGCACAGAGCGAGTGACCAGACCTGGAGGCTGCAGTGCCCGGATGCCAGATCAGCTTCCTGGCAGGTGACCCTGCAGGGTGGGCTCTCCCAGGTGGGACAGTGGGACGGCCCTGGGACCTGGAGAGCCCCACAGCCCAGGGCACCACAGTGAATGACCAGGCTCAGGAAGACCCGGGCATGGAGGCTGAGCCAGGACTGAGCCTTCCTGGGAGTGGCCGGGAGTCCCACCTGGTGACCTCCCTGAAGGAGTTAGGCCACTGTCCCCTGTGACTTCTAGGTTAAGTCACTCACTCCTAGAAACAGTCATGGCTGGAGGAGACCAATGTCAGCTCAAAACTGTGTGTCCCCCCAGGAGCACAACAGGAAAAGAGAATCAGGTGACCAAGGAGAGTTTATTCGGGAGCAGGAGGAGGTGCTGACAGGTTCAAGTCGAGGCCAAGTGACCCACGGCAGAAAAGCTGGGAGGGAGGACAGGGGACCCAGCAGGCAGCTGGGCACCTGCTGGGAGGCAAGAGGTGGGGAGCTGCGAGAATGGGGGCTCCTGGGAGCAAGGAGGGGGAGGTCACCTCAGCACAGGGGAGACACAGGGACCCATCCTAGGTGGGGGCAACCACCTAAACCAGGTCAGGAATTGAACCCAGCTGGCCCAGGGGGGTGTGCACATCAGCAGCTAGACTCCTGGCCTGAGCAGAGGGCTCAGCAGGCCGGGCGGGAGCACGTGGGGCAGCAGAAGAGGGACACGCAGGAGGCCGGGCGGCAGCAGCTGGGCTGGCAGGAGGAGGTGGGGGTACAGCAGGAGGAGACGGGCACGCAGCAGGTGGACCTGCAAACGGGGCGGCAGAGGAGGGACACAGAGGAGGAGGGTCTGCAGCAGGAGATAGTGCAGCAAGCCGGCTGGCAGCTAGACTGCTGGCAGCACAGAGAGGAAGCCCCAGAGCAGACAGGCACACAGCAGACGGGCTTGCAGCAGACAGGCACACAGCAGGCCTGCTGGCAGGGCAAGGAGGTGCAGCAAGCTGGCTGGCAGCTAGACTGTTGGCAGCATGAAGAGGAAGACTCAGAGCAGGTGGGCACACAGCACACAGGCTTGCAGCACACAGGCTTGCAGCAGATGGGCACGCAGCACACCTGCTGGCAGGGGGAGGAGGTGCAGCAAGCCGGCTGGCAGCTGGACTGCTGGCAGCATGAGGGTGTGCAGGAGCTGGTGCAGCCTGATTGGCAGGGGCTGGGCTCACAGGCCGCCTGGCAGCAGGGGCTGGACACACAGCTCACTGGGGTGCAGACCAAGGTCAGGCATGGGGCCGGGGTGCAGCAGCTGGGGGCACAGCAGGGGGGCTCACAGCAGCTCTCTGGGCAGTCGTCCACCTGCCAGGAGTCAGAGTAAGTGCTGGAGCAGACGGACATGGTAGATGCGGCCATGCTGGGGTTGGGGAGGTGAGCTGGAGGAGGTGTGAGGGAGTGAGTGTGGGAGTGAGTGAGTGTGTGAGTGTGTGAGCTTCGTGGGGCTCTCCGGCTTTTATACCCCTCCTGGTCTTGTTGTTCCAGGGCCCACATCCTCTCCTTCCTGGTTGCTGAGAGGCAGCGTGTGTCGTGACTAGAGATGTTTTTTTGCCTGTGATGTGGCCCAGCTCATAAATCTCCTGTCATGTCTGGGCTGTAGCCTGTCCCATGTGGATCCCTGGGGGCAAGAGTGGAGGTGGGCCTGGTCTGCACCCCTCCAGTGCTGCCCAGGTTGTAAGAAGGGGGCTGTAAAGGCAGGGGTGGCCCTTCACCCTTATGCAAAGTGTGGCATGCCAAGGCAAGAGCTGTCCCACTCATGATTTTGGGGGCGTCTCCTCCCTAAAGTAGGTCCTCACTGAAGAGGCAGAAGCAGCCGGTAGAAGCACAGGATCACTGGAGCAGCCGGCGAGAAGGTGCAGCAGGGGCCAGTGAGCCCCGCAGTGGTGGCCCTGCACATTCCTTCCCCCGTCCCCATCACTGGAGGAGCTAGAGCCCAAAACAGGGAGAAGAGGAGCAAGGAAGGAGAGGCCATGCCCCTCCCCACGGCCTTCCCCGAGGCCCTGTCAGACGTGCGTGTTGGAACACTGGGGATAGGACTGGGTTTTGGACAGGAAAGAAACGTTTTGGACTGGCCCATGGATTTGGTTCTGCTTTTAAAGGTCATAGCTTTATGATGTGCTTCAATCATAGATAACTCAAGTCCCATGATCAATATTTCTTATTTGTGCATTTTTTTTTGTACAGATGGGGTCTCAAGTGATCCTCCTGCCTTGGCCAAAGTGCTGGGGTTGCAGGCGTGAGCCCTGTGCCTGGCCATCATCAGTGTTTCTGCACCATGTGTCTTCCCCGTTCCTGCTCATTGTCCTTTCTGTCCTCAGCTTCTGTTCCTCAAACGTAAGCTGCATGTGGGCAGGAAGTGTGTTTGTCTTGTTCACCACTCAGTCCTCAAAGGCCTAAAATAGTGCCTGGCCCAAGGAAGAGCCTTTATAAAAATGGGCTCAAGTTACACTTTTTTAGAGAAATTATTGAAGAGTAATTCTGAGCTCTGAAAACGATTCCATTGTGCCACCTTTTTCTTATGCTGTATAAAATGCTCTGTCAAGTTCTCCTTTCGTGTGTGGGGAAGTGGCTTACATCAGACTGACATCTAGCTGAGAAAAATGAGGAAATCTGGTTTACAAACAAAATCTCTGTTCGTAAGGGCCAGGAGGTATCAAGACAGCTGAGTGAATCCCCATTAGAGAGAAAGTGCACAGAAGTGACTCCAATATTCCTTGTGGATTTTCTTATTGAGGCATTTACCAATTCACAGACCATAGCCAAAAGGCCGAGAGGCTGATCAGCTAAGCAGAGCTTTTAGTAGTCTCACGGAATTAGAAGAAAACACAGAGTTCAGGACCTGACAAGGTGGAGGGAGTCTAGTAAAAAGAAAAAAAAAGCGGCGCGTGCTCAACTGTAATCCAGCACTTGGAGGCGAAACGGCGATCAGAGTCAGGAGATCGAGACATCGGGTAACACAGGAAACCGTCTACTAAAAAAAAAAAACTAGCGGGCGAGGGCAGGCGCCTGTAGTCCAGCTACTCGGGAGGCTGAGGCAGGAGAATGGCGTGAACCGGGAGGCGGAGCTGCAGTGAGCTGAGATCGAACTGCACTCCACCTGGTGACAGAGCGAGACTCCGTCTCAAAAAAAAAAAAAAAAAAAAAACCTAGTCTTTCAGTTGGAAATGCTGAATATAAGTGAAGGGCTACCCCTAGGAGGAAGGAAAAACCAGAAAGAAGAACGAAGCCTATCTTTAAATCAGCTCGTATTGAACTCATATGATCTGCCTGTAGCCTAACTCCCTCCCAGAAACAAAAGTGATCTCTTCTGGAGACAGCAGCATCAACAGAAGCTCAAATAATCTTATAAATTTTCATAAAGTCCTTCATTCAGTCAAAAAATTACTAGGGATACTAGAAGACAAGACCAACTGACCAAAAGACCAAGAGGAAAAAACAAACAAGAGAAACAGATGTGCAGGAGATCTACATATTAGAATTGTGAAACTGGAATTTAAAGTAATGCTGATCAACTTTGCTCAAGAAAAAAGAGAACAAATGGAGAATTTCATTGTCAAACTGGATTTATTAAATGGAATCAAACAGAAATTCTGGAAACGAAGAACACAATAGCTGAAATTAAGAACTAAGTAGCTTAGCTTTACAACCTATAGACAAAACCAAAGAGAAGATTAGTAAAGGAAGGGAGATGAGGAAATTTCAAGCCTGAATACTGAGATGGGAAAGAAAAGAGGGAAATAAAGAAAGTGGAGCAATAAATATGCCTGTATTTTGTGAAAATCTATGGGAAAAATGATTGAATCCTACAAGGAGAGGAGTAAAATAGGGGTAGTAAAATATTTGAAGATATAATGGACAAGAACTTTAACCTGATGAAATGTGTAGATGCAAAAAACATTTAAGAATCTTTAGGCCAGGTGTGATGGCTCACACCTGTAATACCAGCACTTTGGGAGGCCAAGGTGGGCAAATTGCTTGAGCTCAGGAGTTGAAGACCAGCCAGGACAACTTAGCAAAATCCAATCTTGGTCGGGTGCTGTGACTCACACCTGTAATCCCAGCACTTTGGGAGGCAGAGGTGGGCGGATTACAAGGTCAGGAGATCAAGACCATCCTGGCTAACATGGTGAAACGCCATCTCTACTAAAAATACAAAAAAAAAAAAAAAAAAAAAAAAAGCTAGGCGTGGTGGCAGGTGCCTGTAGTCCCAGCAACTCGGAAGGCTGAGGAGGAGAATGGTGTGAATGTGGGAGGCAGAGTGTGCAGTGAGCCGAGATCACACCACTGCACTCCAGCCTGGGTGACAGAGCAAGACTCTGTCTCAAAAAAAAAAAAAAAAACTCTACAAAAAATATAAAAAATTGGCCCAGCTTGGAGGTACATCTGTAGTCCCAGCTACTCAAGAGGCTAAGGAGGAGGATCACTTGAGCCTGGGAGGTAGAGGCTGCAGTGAGCCAAGATTGCACCGCTGCACTCTAACCTGGGCAACAGAAGGAGACCTGTTGAAAAAGAAAAAAAAAAAAAAAAAAAGAAAGAAAAGAAAAGAAAAAACAAAAAGAAAAAAGGAACCTCCCAAACCAAGAATCTTTAGCAAGTGAATACAAAGCAAACTACACCTGGGCACATTGGGGTTGAAATCCAAAGACTGAGAAAAATTTAAAAACAGCCAGAGGAAAACAAGACATATTACCTTCAAAGAAGCAACAATAACATTAACAGATGACTTCTCAGTGAAATGATGGAAGGTAGAGGACAATGGAATGATATATTTACTGTCTGAAAGAAGAGAAGCACAAAGCTAGAATTCTATACCTGGGAAGAAGATTCCCCCAAATGAGAACAGAATAAAGACATTCTCTGGACACTGAGAGGATGTGTCACCAGCAGGATCTGCGCTACAGAAAATACTAATGAGAGCATTAGGCAGAACAAAAACAATCACAGATGAAAGCAAGAAGTTGATAAGGAAATGAAATGTAGCAAAAGAAGAACACATGGGGAAAATCTAAGTGAATGTTCACTGTATAAAATGTCTTATACGTTGTAAAATATTCATAGAAATAAAATACATAGCAAGAACACAAAATTCAGGGGGCTACATGGAGTTCAAGTGGCTTAAGCACAGTGCACCATCTGAAAAATAATATAAGGTCTAATTTACATTAGACTTTAAAAAGTCATGGATTTATGTTATAATCTCCACTATAATAATAGAGGAATATACAACTCACTAGGAAGTAGATGCATGTACTCGGTTGACTCATGCCTCCCCAAAAGTCATCTCCACCCAGAACTGCACAATATGACTTTACATGGAAATAAGGTATTTGCAGATATAATTAGTTAAGTCATATGGGATCATAGTGAACCTTAAATCCAATGTCTAGTGTCTTTACCAGAGAAAGGAGAAGGAAGTCCAGACGTACACACAAAGGGAAGAAGATGATATGACAACAGAGGCGAAGATTGGAGTGAAGATAGAGGCCAAGGGACACCAAGGTTTGCTGGGTGCCACCAGAAGCTAGAAGTGGCAGGGACAGATTCTCCCTTGGAGCTCAGAGAAAGCCTGGCCCTGCCCAACTGAGGAATGCTGTGTGCTTCGTTTCGGGTGCCTGGCCCTCAGAACTGTGAGAGAATAATTTCCCATTGTTTTCAGCCACTCCTTTGATGTAATTAGCTATGGTAGCACTAGGAACCAATACAATGAAGGAATAAAACAAAACTTAAACCACTCAATCCAAAAGCAGTAAAGCAAGGATATAAAAGGGAGTAGATTCCTTGCATAAGCAAAAACCAAAGTGAGATGGGAGGTTTAAACTCAAACGTATCAGCAAAGCCCCACATTCTTGCCAGTCCTGCACAGCAGATGTGTTGTTACTTTAGTCAACACAGCTGTATAGAGAGAGTCACTGGGGTTTAAGTTCGCATTGTCCTGATGATTCATGATATGGAGCATGTTTTTATGTGTTTATTTGCCATCCGTATCTGTTCTTTAGTGAAGGGTCTATTTAAGTCATATATTACATGGCAAAATACTAAACACCGTGGGAATCCATAGATGTGATATTATGGCAATAGTAATAATAATAAGACCCAAAAAATCAGTGCCTGTTCGGGGTTAGGGTGGGGATGTGGAATGACTACAAAGGGGCAAGAGGGAAATTTATGGGATGATGAGAGGCCTCTGTATATTGTTAGTGTTGGTGGAGACA